CGTTAGTTGAGTGAAGGAAGCAATATTTGTTCACGTTCATGTAGCTGTTGTTCTTCCCTGGCTTTTCTTTCGCTTTGTGAAAATGAGGAAGTGTGTCTTTAAGTGGAAAGCAGATGAAAAATTGAAGGCCTGGATTGCAGCCGATCCTACGTCACAGACCAAAGTGATGTGTGTTGTTTGTAATCAGGCAATTGATATTTCAAGCATGGGAGAAGCTGCTTTGCAAAGCCACATGATCGGCAAGAAACACAAGAAACTCATGGAATTGAAACTGTCGTCTCTTTCTGTAACACATTTCCTGTCTTCTAGTTCGGAAAATAAGAGTTAAGACCTAAGAGTTAAGTAAAGTTTACATATTTCTGTGGTTCTTGAAATGTAGTTTTTTTCGAGTTACGTTAAGTCACTTCCATGTCTGATATGCACAACTATTTTACTAAGAAATATTAAATCCATTTTCCATTGAGTGTAACTGAGTGGTTGTCTTCCTTTACTGAAATATTTTGTTTCAGTGATGTCCACTGAAAGCAACTTGTACATGTACAAGTTGGATGCCATATTTCTGTTTTTGTTTTGTGTTGTTTTCTTTGTTCCAGTCTTCATGCAACCAAAAGTCAAGATCCAATTGAAATATTTCTTTATTTGGCTTGATGAATTTATTGCAATGTAATGATATGTTGTAATTCAGTTTAATTCTTTGCCTAAATTTTTATCACTTGTTTTTATACTTTGTGTTTTGAGTTTTGGTTCAATTGATTCGTGGTATAAATTTTATTTGCTTAATGGTAGACGTTAGTATACTGTTATGTTTTGGTTGTGTCACTGTAAATTAAGAATTAAACAGTTGAAACTGAATTTTTTGGACTCATTGTTTTCATAGTTAAGACAGTTATTCTTCTCGGGCCATGAAGAATCTCACTGTTACCTTGAGTCTGGAAAATAAAAAAAGTGGTCTGGAAAAAGTCTTTAATTCTGTCCACAAACAAGTGTACGAACCCCGAATACGGTCGAACATGATCCAACATGATCAAACAAGGTGTCCAAACAGGAAAATGTTTGGTCACCAAACAATGTTGGATCATGTTTGATTGCCAAACGTTTCCTGTCTGAACAGGGCTTAACAACGTGTACAGCTGTTTTGAGAAAGATGGCAAAGGTTGTCCAGTAGCAAGAGTGCATAAGATTGTGTGACAATGTTGAGGGTATTACAGGTAATGGTGGTTTACGGTTACTTGATTGAAGCTAAAGGTGCTTCAGCATGATAGAAGGAAACAGCACAAACATGTACACATGCTTTCCTCTTGCTTCAACACTGTTAATCTCAATCGAGCAATTATAAACTTTCACCAGCCATGGTACGAATCAGCAATGTTGTTTTAGTTTCTCTGCTTTTGTGGGACAACCTTTGTTGAAATAACTGAACACATGTGGCTACCCAGTGTTACAGAGTGTAAGATACACAGTGGAACAAGATCACACAATGCATATATGATGCGAGACACCTTACCCTACCCTACCCTGTTCAACCAGGTGCACTAACCCGTTCCCCCCTATTGAAAATCTCAGTGAATTCCCTGTCCTCTGTATGAAACCTTAGACTTGTAGAGGATATTAGTTATTTTGTAATTCAATTTTGATCTATTGAAATGGATGTATTTTTCCATGGCTCTCAAGGTGTAAATTGTACTTTCTAATGCAGGGCTTTCAATAGCATTTTCAGCAGGAAGGCAACTGGTTTTTCAGAGGCAGGCAAATTTTTTTCTTAACTGAACTTCTTTATAAGAAAAAATTGTCTCTTGATGGTCAGACCAGGCAGGCAAATCCTTCCTCACAGTTAGTCGATTTACCTGGTGCTTGACTATTAATGAAACCTCTGCTAATATATATATACATGTACTGAAAATTTTGAGTTACACATACCAGCATAGAAAAATAATTTCATACTTTTTTATTGTCCCCTTAATTCACCAGGCTTTTGGGTACGATGAGTTCTGTTTTGTTATTAAATTTTATTTCTGTGGAACTAAATAAGGAATGTAATGTAAATTGTTATACTTTTTATATTGCTTATGTTTTTAGGTTTAACCCATATTCTACCTTCAATAAGTGTAAAATCTGCAAGCAGACTGTTCACCAGGCTCACTCGCACTACTGTCAAGGTATGTCAATCAATTTATTTATTGCATACATGTACATGTACAAAGAGCATGGACCAAAATAATTAATTAATTAATTAATTAATTAATTAATAATTAACAATATAGGTCTAAAATGAGAACAAGAGTTGTGAAGAGTTGAGCAAATAGAGTTGGCAGAGAGTTTTCATATATTATTGCTCTTATTGACCATCATTGGTGTGGGGGGAAATAAGCTGAAAATGTACAAAAGTTGATGTCACCTACCTGCCAACCTGCCAACCTGCCAAGTTAAAACTGTTGTTGATTCAACTGAAATTTGAGCAGACTCAATTTAATGATCTTCATTTAAGTGTACATGTATGGGATTATGGCTGTACAGTTGAGTAACTGTTGAAACTAGTTTGAGGTTTTGTCAACTGCTCTTGTTTGATCCTGCTTTAAGGTGGGGATTTTCCTTCTACTGTCAAAAGTGGCAATAGTTCATATCATCAACTGTGTATAGTCAACAAAATGCACACAATAACTAAGTATGAAACCCCTTCATCCTGATAAATGCAATGGAATTACTAAATACAATTATATTTATAACAACTTTATTGCATCTCCTTCCAGTGCATTTGTATATCCCTTCTTAGCTAATGTATTCATTTATTTCTCACATTAATGCTGTATCTAAGCTGTTCTCAATAGTCTATTGATAACATCAGGAAAAATAATTAATTTTGTGAAACAACAAAGAGTGTAATTTTTTCCTGTTTTTGCTTCAACAGGCTGTGCATACAAGAAAGGTAAGTATTATCTGTTCTATCTTTGCCAGTGTTTCTTCCAAAATTAGACTAGTGTTATCAGATAGAATTAAAAGTATATTTTACATCTGAGGATGCTTTCCTTTCTCGGTCTTTAACTTGGATATACCTCTCTTCTAGGTATCTGTGCAATGTGTGGAAAACAAGTTTTGGACACGTCAAACTACAGGCAGACTTCAGTTTAATGTTCAACGTGTTGCACAACTCTTTTGTTAATTTTGCTAAATATGTATTTTTAAACTCTAAAATGTACACAATGTATATTTCATTTCACAATAACGCATGGTAACATTTGTATAAACACAGTTATTCAATAGTTGCAGAGATGCCAAGTACACTCATTTTAGAGAGATTCACAAGGTATACCCTCTTTTGTAGAGTTCTAAATATCGAGTGTCTGAGAGGAGGATATTGTTTAATAATCAGTCAGCAGTACAAGTTACTTGGATTTTATTATGTGCATTTAATTTTGCTTCATGTATGAAAGGCAAGCAATACGCAGCATTTCAATCTATGTTTATGAAATACTGCTTTACTCCTCACTAAAGTTTGCTTTTGTTTGAACTGTTTTGGAAATGTATCAAATGAATTTAAAGTAGACAATCTGAGAGACATGAAACTCTCTTACAAATACAACAAGGAATGTATGGTTTCAGGCCAAGAATAGACACTTGTATATTGACATCAGGGCTTCAAGAACTAAATATCATCAAATACTCGCACTTTGATAATTTTATTATTACATGTACATGTACATTTATATGTGCTTTATTAGGAGGTCTATGGGTCCCAGTAAGGAGAATGTTTCTGTTAACATCCAGGAATAAAGGTTATTTAAATTCCCGAAAACAACATTGCCATGGCCGCAGCCAGAAAAAAAACCTGTTGCTGAGGCAGTGTCAAGTTGGCCACAAGTCAGGAAATAAAGATAGACAAGCAAAGTCGGTGAACTTGTGAAATTTTGAGTTTCTCCTTTTCGAAGTTCACTGATATGAAAGGTCTGAAGTTTCTCTCCAACAGTCTACAAAAGGCGTGGATATTACCAGGAATCCTATAATCTCAGCAAGAACCATAATGTAACTGCGTAGTCTTGAAGACGAAGAAGAATAATAGGACGAGAAGCAGGAGGAGATAGCGAAAGAAGAGAACGAGATAGACAAAGTTTATTTTACTTGCACAACACACTTAGCTATGTAACGGCGCGTCCCATAGACTTAGTAAGCAGAGTCTACAGGACGCACCAGCTAGTTTACAGGTGCGCCAAGAAAACAATATAACAAAGTAAAAATTTACATTTGGGAATAAATATCAAACTTTGTTACATACATTTTGAAGTCACTGGTGATCCTTGCAATCTGATTGGCTGTGAGCAGTGTAATTTATTCTCGAATCGCACTATTTTTGTTCTCTAAATCGCATCTTTTTCCTGGCCATTGAGAATGGAACACTTAAAACAACCAACCGATCTTATTTCCGCAAGGCTAGAAATTAAATTACAGGAAAGCCAGAGCAATTTATTTACGCATCTCACTTCATTTTTGTGCCCTAAATTGCATCTATTTCTGTTTTGCATACAAAATGAGATGTAAAAGCGTTTCAGGCACTGCTTTCAACAATCCGGCTACTGGATCAATAAAATACTGGTACTGACCAAGGCGATTAAAAATGGATTTGATAAAGTGGCGACTGATCAAAATTGAACTTTATGTTGTGCAATTTTGGTCTGAAATCATACTTGCAATCACGCTGCGCGCTCGTTCAATTTTGAAATCACGCGCGTATGATTTCAGACCAAATTGCACTCCACTCAGTTCAATTACCATTAAAACCTAACTAAGATTATATAACTACTATAAAATACCTAAAAATGTATAAGAATATTAAAAATGTGTATAAATTGCACGGATAGAAACTATGCAAAAGTAAGATACGAAAAGGGAAAAAATTGATAAAATAAGTTCACATATGCCAGCTTATGTCCACATTATTTTAACGTTTTGTAGCTGGCCGGGGATCTGGTTGAGTCCGGGAGGCTGTTCCATAATTTGGATCCAAAGTGTTGCCATGATTTAAGGCCGTACTTAGTGGTGTGTACCTTAGGGAGATTAAGAATGTTATTGTCTCTCAAGTTATAAGACCAATTCCCAAGTTGTATTAAGTCAAGCAAGTAGGTGGGGCTGGGACCGTTGTGCTCAGCTTATGTCGGTTTATTTAGAGTTTTTAGCAAATCCCTGTAGGATGAACATTTGTCCATAAAACAAGGAATAAGAACGAGTTGAAGAGGAACGAAGAAGAACGAGTAGGAAGAAAATTAGTGCATTTTGTTTCTCGTATGTTAGTGTGATATTGTCATTATTGGCAAATTGTAACAACCATAAAAACGTGCTGTGCTATAGATTATACACTGCGTTTTAAATATGAACTCCACAAAACTATAAATGCAAAAGTTGTTTGATAGTGTCCTTTAAAGCTTGCCTTATTTCCCTTATTCTCCAGTAGTAAAGAATCGGGTTTAATGACGAGTTTAAGTAGACTAATGTGATTGTGTATTTCCTAACAAGAAGTACAAATGGAGATATTTTCTTTTGGCTCAGCAAAGCCCACACTATACCGTTGGGTAAGAAACAGACAACAAATGCCAGCTGCAACCACAATACGGTGGAGACTGCTCTTCTGTATCGTGCTATGTTCAGTGGAATTCCGTGGATCGTTCGTTGGCCATGACCTTGCACTTGAGTTTGTTGATTGCGGAGTGTGAGGAAAATCTTTGTGTAAGAGAAGATCGAGGTTGCAAGGCAAAGTAATAGACCTACATGGCCATACCACAGGGTAAGCAAGGAACTCCAAAAGTGCATAGTTGTAGCGATCGTGGACACTATCCAAAAGGAAAGTGCAATATAGAATGTTCGCTTCAAAGTCACAACTTGTCTATATCTCAGCCTCAACAACAGGGCGAGAAGTCTGTCTACGCTTATTGCTGTCAGCGTCAACAAGGACACAGAGACCAGGGTGTAACCTATGACGAAATGTACATTTATTGCGAAGCGACAGATATTCCAACTCTCGTTCACCACAGACATCCACTGCAAAACAGCTACTGGCTGTGCAATAACACCAACACAGAGATCAGTTGTTGCCAGAGAACGAAACAGGAGCTTGGTCGGCGGATGAAGGGAAGACTCCTTGTGTAGAGCAACTAGGATCAGAGTATTCCCAAGAAATGCAGTAATTGACATAACGATATTTAACACTAAAACAACCGTCAAATGATACTGTATATCACTGGTCAAATCGACCGAGCATTGCAGTCGGTCCAATGATATCTGCTTCCCATCTTCAGATAAGTTTGTTATCGCCATCTTCAACCTCTTGCTTCAACAGCTTTTTTTAACGCATCAACTTTTCCACCACGATTTCGGCACTCAAAATGGCTGCAGCGAATTTGACATTGCGTCCCTAACAATATAATGGCTATTCTTCCGTCAGCCCTGGGTGTCCTTATTTCTTTCGAAGTGTCAAATAGGCTATTTCAATTAACAGGTTGTTTGTAAGGCACAAACCTATTGTCATGAAACTGTTTCAATTGTTCAGGGAAACGAGAAAGGAATGAAAAATTATACTCATGGTTCACGAGGGTGCTAATTCACGTTAGTATGTACCATACCATTAAAACAGACGAAAATGAAGAGAGGAAGCAATGAATCTGGCGATGTTTACGTAATTACTTTTTTAAAAAACAGGGGTACCGTACCCTCTGTCGACTGAGCGGAAACATAACATAATTCATTTTTAGAATGGCCTTAACTGAGAAAATTGTTTCAAACGCCGCGTTTGCTTTTCGGTTTCGGCTCTGTCGGTTCTTTGTGTCTATTCGTGGGTCGATCAAGTTGTAAAATCAAACTTTCTTTTTTTTTTCTACTCTGTTGTCTGGCCTTTCAAATAAAAGCTTTAAAAGCAAATACCTTCTGGCGTTTTATTTGTTTTTTTCTGCAGTTTTGGAAAATGCAATTTACAATGTTTAAGAGATTTCGTACATGGACGCCCTTGCATGTTTCTCTTTAGGTAAAAATTTAATAATCCTAGGTCTCAGTTGTATTTTGGTGATTATGGAAAGAAAAACCGGATCCCATGCTGATTCATTCTCGGGAAAACTAGTCAGAGCGGAATTCTTAGGAGACGCACCTGTACTAAACTTGTGTGCACTTCGAAATTTAATTTCCTGTCCTCTATGGAAAAATTAAAAATTACAAGTAAACACCCCTCTAAGCCTGAATTTGCTTGTGGCTTTTTTAATTTTGGCTTCCAACTTATTAAATCCCGGTCCTTATTTTAAGTTATGTTTGAGATAGAGGACGTATTCTCGGTTGTATCGTGAAAAGAGCTACATTTTTTTTCCTGGCATTGACAATCCAATTTATGAAAGGTAGACCATGTATACCGATATATAGCGTGATGGGATCCTTTGATGTCAAATTGAACTCCCTCGACTTCAATCAAACAAATCATTCAGGTACATACAGCTTGTTGTATGCAACAAATGAATTTCACCTGTTAACGAAGACCGCTCACAGAAGAATCCCATTAGCAACAACCTCATATTTATCAATTTTAAACGCGAGTGCGCAATTTGCGGCATTATTGTTAGATGTCTTCGAACACTCGACAATATGAACGACTGCTTCACCATGACGATCCCTCCACACACAAAAAAACGCGATACATCTTCGGGAGTGACGGGATAAAATGGACTTAGCTTTAGTTAGGTAGCGNCTCTTATTGACCATCATTGGTGTGGGGGGAAATAAGCTGAAAATGTACAAAAGTTAATGTCACCTACCTGCCAACCTGCCAAGTTAAAACTGTTGTTGATTCAACTGAAATTTGAGCAGACTCAATTTAATGATCTTCATTTAAGTGTACATGTATGGGATTATGGCTGTACAGTTGAGTAACTGTTGAAACTAGTTTGAGGTTTTGTCAACTGCTCTTGTTTGATCCTGCTTTAAGGTGGGGATTTTCCTTCTACTGTCAAAAGTGGCAATAGTTCATATCATCAACTGTGTATAGTCAACAAAATGCACACAATAACTAAGTATGAAACCCCTTCATCCTGATAAATGCAATGGAATTACTAAATACAATTATATTTATAACAACTTTATTGCATCTCCTTCCAGTGCATTTGTATATCCCTTCTTAGCTAATGTATTCATTTATTTCTCACATTAATGCTGTATCTAAGCTGTTCTCAATAGTCTATTGATAACATCAGGAAAAATAATTAATTTTGTGAAACAACAAAGAGTGTAATTTTTTCCTGTTTTTGCTTCAACAGGCTGTGCATACAAGAAAGGTAAGTATTATCTGTTCTATCTTTGCCAGTGTTTCTTCCAAAATTAGACTAGTGTTATCAGATAGAATTAAAAGTATATTTTACATCTGAGGATGCTTTCCTTTCTCGGTCTTTAACTTGGATATACCTCTCTTCTAGGTATCTGTGCAATGTGTGGAAAACAAGTTTTGGACACGTCAAACTACAGGCAGACTTCAGTTTAATGTTCAACGTGTTGCACAACTCTTTTGTTAATTTTGCTAAATATGTATTTTTAAACTCTAAAATGTACACAATGTATATTTCATTTCACAATAACGCATGGTAACATTTGTATAAACACAGTTATTCAATAGTTGCAGAGATGCCAAGTACACTCATTTTAGAGAGATTCACAAGGTATACCCTCTTTTGTAGAGTTCTAAATATCGAGTGTCTGAGAGGAGGATATTGTTTAATAATCAGTCAGCAGTACAAGTTACTTGGATTTTATTATGTGCATTTAATTTTGCTTCATGTATGAAAGGCAAGCAATACGCAGCATTTCAATCTATGTTTATGAAATACTGCTTTACTCCTCACTAAAGTTTGCTTTTGTTTGAACTGTTTTGGAAATGTATCAAATGAATTTAAAGTAGACAATCTGAGAGACATGAAACTCTCTTACAAGTACAACAAGGAATGTATGGTTTCAGGCCAAGAATAGACACTTGTATATTGACATCAGGGCTTCAAGAACTAAATATCATCAAATACTCGCACTTTGATAATTTTATTATTACATGTACATGTACATTTATATGTGCTTTATTAGGAGGTCTATGGGTCCCAGTAAGGAGAATGTTTCTGTTAACATCCAGGAATAAAGGTTATTTAAATTCCCGAAAACAACATTGCCATGGCCGCAGCCAGAAAAAAAACCTGTTGCTGAGGCAGTGTCAAGTTGGCCACAAGTCAGGAAATAAAGATAGACAAGCAAAGTCGGTGAACTTGTGAAATTTTGAGTTTCTCCTTTTCGAAGTTCACTGATATGAAAGGTCTGAAGTTTCTCTCCAACAGTCTACAAAAGGCGTGGATATTACCAGGAATCCTATAATCTCAGCAAGAACCATAATGTAACTGCGTAGTCTTGAAGACGAAGAAGAATAATAGGACGAGAAGCAGGAGGAGATAGCGAAAGAAGAGAACGAGATAGACAAAGTTTATTTTACTTGCACAACACACTTAGCTATGTAACGGCGCGTCCCATAGACTTAGTAAGCAGAGTCTACAGGACGCACCAGCTAGTTTACAGGTGCGCCAAGAAAACAATATAACAAAGTAAAAATTTACATTTGGGAATAAATATCAAACTTTGTTACATACATTTTGAAGTCACTGGTGATCCTTGCAATCTGATTGGCTGTGAGCAGTGTAATTTATTCTCGAATCGCACTATTTTTGTTCTCTAAATCGCATCTTTTTCCTGGCCATTGAGAATGGAACACTTAAAACAACCAACCGATCTTATTTCCGCAAGGCTAGAAATTAAATTACAGGAAAGCCAGAGCAATTTATTTACGCATCTCACTTCATTTTTGTGCCCTAAATTGCATCTATTTCTGTTTTGCATACAAAATGAGATGTAAAAGCGTTTCAGGCACTGCTTTCAACAATCCGGCTACTGGATCAATAAAATACTGGTACTGACCAAGGCGATTAAAAATGGATTTGATAAAGTGGCGACTGATCAAAATTGAACTTTATGTTGTGCAATTTTGGTCTGAAATCATACTTGCAATCACGCTGCGCGCTCGTTCAATTTTGAAATCACGCGCGTATGATTTCAGACCAAATTGCACTCCACTCAGTTCAATTACCATTAAAACCTAACTAAGATTATATAACTACTATAAAATACCTAAAAATGTATAAGAATATTAAAAATGTGTATAAATTGCACGGATAGAAACTATGCAAAAGTAAGATACGAAAAGGGAAAAAATTGATAAAATAAGTTCACATATGCCAGCTTATGTCCACATTATTTTAACGTTTTGTAGCTGGCCGGGGATCTGGTTGAGTCCGGGAGGCTGTTCCATAATTTGGATCCAAAGTGTTGCCATGATTTAAGGCCGTACTTAGTGGTGTGTACCTTAGGGAGATTAAGAATGTTATTGTCTCTCAAGTTATAAGACCAATTCCCAAGTTGTATTAAGTCAAGCAAGTAGGTGGGGCTGGGACCGTTGTGCTCAGCTTATGTCGGTTTATTTAGAGTTTTTAGCAAATCCCTGTAGGATGAACATTTGTCCATAAAACAAGGAATAAGAACGAGTTGAAGAGGAACGAAGAAGAACGAGTAGGAAGAAAATTAGTGCATTTTGTTTCTCGTATGTTAGTGTGATATTGTCATTATTGGCAAATTGTAACAACCATAAAAACGTGCTGTGCTATAGATTATACACTGCGTTTTAAATATGAACTCCACAAAACTATAAATGCAAAAGTTGTTTGATAGTGTCCTTTAAAGCTTGCCTTATTTCCCTTATTCTCCAGTAGTAAAGAATCGGGTTTAATGACGAGTTTAAGTAGACTAATGTGATTGTGTATTTCCTAACAAGAAGTACAAATGGAGATATTTTCTTTTGGCTCAGCAAAGCCCACACTATACCGTTGGGTAAGAAACAGACAACAAATGCCAGCTGCAACCACAATACGGTGGAGACTGCTCTTCTGTATCGTGCTATGTTCAGTGGAATTCCGTGGATCGTTCGTTGGCCATGACCTTGCACTTGAGTTTGTTGATTGCGGAGTGTGAGGAAAATCTTTGTGTAAGAGAAGATCGAGGTTGCAAGGCAAAGTAATAGACCTACATGGCCATACCACAGGGTAAGCAAGGAACTCCAAAAGTGCATAGTTGTAGCGATCGTGGACACTATCCAAAAGGAAAGTGCAATATAGAATGTTCGCTTCAAAGTCACAACTTGTCTATATCTCAGCCTCAACAACAGGGCGAGAAGTCTGTCTACGCTTATTGCTGTCAGCGTCAACAAGGACACAGAGACCAGGGTGTAACCTATGACGAAATGTACATTTATTGCGAAGCGACAGATATTCCAACTCTCGTTCACCACAGACATCCACTGCAAAACAGCTACTGGCTGTGCAATAACACCAACACAGAGATCAGTTGTTGCCAGAGAACGAAACAGGAGCTTGGTCGGCGGATGAAGGGAAGACTCCTTGTGTAGAGCAACTAGGATCAGAGTATTCCCAAGAAATGCAGTAATTGACATAACGATATTTAACACTAAAACAACCGTCAAATGATACTGTATATCACTGGTCAAATCGACCGAGCATTGCAGTCGGTCCAATGATATCTGCTTCCCATCTTCAGATAAGTTTGTTATCGCCATCTTCAACCTCTTGCTTCAACAGCTTTTTTTAACGCATCAACTTTTCCACCACGATTTCGGCACTCAAAATGGCTGCAGCGAATTTGACATTGCGTCCCTAACAATATAATGGCTATTCTTCCGTCAGCCCTGGGTGTCCTTATTTCTTTCGAAGTGTCAAATAGGCTATTTCAATTAACAGGTTGTTTGTAAGGCACAAACCTATTGTCATGAAACTGTTTCAATTGTTCAGGGAAACGAGAAAGGAATGAAAAATTATACTCATGGTTCACGAGGGTGCTAATTCACGTTAGTATGTACCATACCATTAAAACAGACGAAAATGAAGAGAGGAAGCAATGAATCTGGCGATGTTTACGTAATTACTTTTTTAAAAAACAGGGGTACCGTACCCTCTGTCGACTGAGCGGAAACATAACATAATTCATTTTTAGAATGGCCTTAACTGAGAAAATTGTTTCAAACGCCGCGTTTGCTTTTCGGTTTCGGCTCTGTCGGTTCTTTGTGTCTATTCGTGGGTCGATCAAGTTGTAAAATCAAACTTTCTTTTTTTTTTCTACTCTGTTGTCTGGCCTTTCAAATAAAAGCTTTAAAAGCAAATACCTTCTGGCGTTTTATTTGTTTTTTTCTGCAGTTTTGGAAAATGCAATTTACAATGTTTAAGAGATTTCGTACATGGACGCCCTTGCATGTTTCTCTTTAGGTAAAAATTTAATAATCCTAGGTCTCAGTTGTATTTTGGTGATTATGGAAAGAAAAACCGGATCCCATGCTGATTCATTCTCGGGAAAACTAGTCAGAGCGGAATTCTTAGGAGACGCACCTGTACTAAACTTGTGTGCACTTCGAAATTTAATTTCCTGTCCTCTATGGAAAAATTAAAAATTACAAGTAAACACCCCTCTAAGCCTGAATTTGCTTGTGGCTTTTTTAATTTTGGCTTCCAACTTATTAAATCCCGGTCCTTATTTTAAGTTATGTTTGAGATAGAGGACGTATTCTCGGTTGTATCGTGAAAAGAGCTACATTTTTTTTCCTGGCATTGACAATCCAATTTATGAAAGGTAGACCATGTATACCGATATATAGCGTGATGGGATCCTTTGATGTCAAATTGAACTCCCTCGACTTCAATCAAACAAATCATTCAGGTACATACAGCTTGTTGTATGCAACAAATGAATTTCACCTGTTAACGAAGACCGCTCACAGAAGAATCCCATTAGCAACAACCTCATATTTATCAATTTTAAACGCGAGTGCGCAATTTGCGGCATTATTGTTAGATGTCTTCGAACACTCGACAATATGAACGACTGCTTCACCATGACGATCCCTCCACACACAAAAAAACGCGATACATCTTCGGGAGTGACGGGATAAAATGGACTTAGCTTTAGTTAGGTAGCGAGGCTAAGAAGGGTTCAAATTCCTTACGCAAGGAAGATTTTTGTTTTGAATATGAAGATTATATATGCTGCAAACAACCATCAATAGATTTGAGATCCTCCACTTTTCTCGAGGCAGGGTTCCGAGGAATAAATTTTCTTTGATAGTCACACATTTGACAAAATCGAAAAAAGTAGTTGTTGGCATAAGCACATGACGGACAGGCTACAGCCGGGGTAAAAATCTGCTGAGCTTGTGGAAGGCCCTAAAGGGAATGAAGACGAATTAAATGACTAATTTGCTTAAGGACGAGGTGTAGGAGCAAAATTCTTCGACTTTATTGAAAATACAGAATTACGATGCATACAAAATACCGGAAATGGTTGATTTGTTCTGTTCAATAAATCCATAGACTAGATGAAGTGACTGTAAACCTATTTATCATATGATCTGTACGGCCGATCCTTTGACGTAGAAAACAACTGCTTACAGGGTAGTACGTTGGAAGATCGCGTCCGATGAGATCAATGGAGTGTACGTGGAAGTCTCCATATACGCTCTGGACCAGATTCCAAATGGCTAAAAGAGCTAGTAAACGAAGCAATGCTGGCATTCTCTCGAAGCTAACCAATCGTCTGTTTAGCAAGGCTGATCCATAAGCTTTGGCTAATGCCGTTGCCGAAGCACAAGCTGTGTTATCAAATGAAGTAAATGTCATTTATCGTCATCCTCATTTGTACGCACACAGAGACAAAGACTTCAACCCAGACTCACATCAGACTTCAACCCAGCAACATCAACAGGGATAATTTTTAGGGAGTTTAAGAAATCCACCACGGCAACGGCAACGGGAACGTTGCTAAACAAAAGATTTCATGAGCAGAACAATGGCTTTGCAGGTGCGTTATAATTCTTAGCACATTTCTTTATCGTCCTCTGCAAAACAACAACGTGAAATGACCAAATTTTGCGCTGTCTGGAGAACGTGAACCACGAGGGATAATTTTTTTTAAATTTATATTTTGAATTTTTTACTGTGTTCCATATTCGGTTTCCAGATGGTTTTGACAAAGAGAAGCAAACTAAATGACTTAAGTATTGCGAGATTTGCAGGTGAAATATTAATTTAATTTTTAGTCGACGTTGTTCTTGGCGTCGCCATCGTAGCTTCTTAAACTCCCTAATGGAATAGAAAATCCAGAAGCACGGATGCTCACGATCAAGAAACACAAAACAGGAGAGCAGTATGACAATGGACCGCCGAGGAACAACTCACAGAAACAGAGAGGATCAAAATGCCCCATTCAAAGCTGTTGAAAACCAACCAATCAGAGCAGGGCATCGTGCTTTCTAGGTGACGGCTAGCCAGTCGAGTTTACAAGTTACCACAGTACATCGTGAAACAAACGATGATCCTTTACTATTACTGTACAACTACAACTGCAACCTTTCTACGAAATTTGAAAATGTCACTAGAGAGAAGGTGGTGGGGTCCGGTAAGTTGGTACTCGGCCTTATTTCAGCTCTAAAAGTGTCGTTAATTGGAATGCAGTTGAAAACATTTTCTCATTTTGGTTGTCTGCGATTGAAGACTTTACTATAAAAGAAAGTTGTCATCTTTTTCTAGTATATCTTTCAATTAATCTCCCACTAAGTCTGAATTTTTCAAAACCTTGCACCACCGAAACTGTTTACTGTCAGTTTAAAAACGTACCTTTCAGTTGTTCTACCTAAGCTGTCAGACATTTTCGTTACTTACACAACGTTTTATTTTACCATGTTTTTCATTTTCTTCGAGTTTCTTGTTATAGTATACTTTGTACTGCTCAAGCATTGTCTCCATCATGTAAAAAACCATCTTGTTGTAATGAACATGGTCTAGGCATCTATGTGGATACGAATCGGTCAATGGATACACGTCTATGACGTCAAATCCTGCTTTGCACATGGCTGACATGGAGTAGGCGTGGAAGAGGGCAACTCGCTGAAAGGAGAGAACGCAAAAAATATTTTGTCTACGGGTTCTTCCAGATGTAGCAACACTCCGCCTGTCTTCATTTTTTGTTAAGAGAGTATCTATTGTTAACTTCTGGAGCATCTTTAACAGTTTGAAACAGTCAATCAAATGCGGAATATCTCACATTTTATACAAGAACTACTCGACAGCTCAAGAATTCCTCGATATCCTAAGGCATATATTCCCCCGCCATTATCTCGCTGCAGCAGACAATACAAAGAATTAAAGTTATTGTTTTAAAGCTCTTTGGATGTGGGATGATGTAGTTTGATTATCTGACAAGTTGGACAAGTACGAGAGAGTTCCACAGATTACCAGCAATTATTATAAACACAGTAACCTTCATTTGGTGCCAAAACACGTTCGGATATTTGTCCGTAGCTTATAGTATCTTCTTCGTATCTATCTATCTATCTATCTATCTATCTATCTATCTATCTATATCCGTGATCTCTCGAAAGCTTGTTCCCCTCTTGAAACAGTAAAGTCGCGCCTTTTTCCATGCATATTTCCCCACCAGATGGAGTTTATTTTATATATATATATATATATATATATATATATATATATATATATATATATATATATACCCCGTAATGCCAAATGCCTAACAATCTGGTTGTAGCTATTACTGTTAATATTTAAAGAAAACTGTCTCTTATTATAATAGTCTTTAGATGACACCGTAGCTTCGTAGCAGATGCTTCCTGTAGTGATGCTGGTTACAAAACGGTAAGAGAAGACGCGTTTTTAATTAAACATTGTACAGCAACTAATTTTAGAACGTTTACGGATTTAATTTATACCCTTGTATTCTTAGAAGCCGGCTGACAAATCAGAGAGTACAAACCTGGGAAGTGTAGAATCGAAAATCGGTTTCCTTTGAGGACGAGGCCTTTTCCTTGCAGATGGCGGTGGATGACTTCCAAATGATTTTAGCATTATACTTTGCGGAAACTCTCTCACCATGTGAGAGTTCTTTAGGCTTCAAAACCAGTATCAAGTCATCTATGAGCCTCTGATAAGTAGTAAAATTGACGCTTTTTGCAAAATGCAGCACCAGGTTTAAAAGCAAGACGCTTTCCTCTTGTTGCATTTCTGGCTTGCGAAGAACGTTGACAACGGTTTCGATGACTTTTTCAGGTCTAAAATCAAGATCTCTTTCCAGTTTAATGTTTAAGCCTTTGTTGTGAGCATGGTAGATCCACATGTAGCTATTGCCACATTTTTTATAAAGTAATTTACATAAGGGACGAGCCTTGACGGATGTGTACAGCCGACGACCAAGTGAATCACCGTAGATCCAAAGCGTTCCAGACTGCGAGTAATTTTGCGGCACCGACCATTTGTAAGGCTCTGTTTTATATAAATTTAAAAAGAAAGCAAGCTACGGTTAAGTAAACCAAAAGTGCAGTTTATAACAATGTGAAGCACTAGAATAAACAACGTACAATGGCCTATTAAATTCTGCGGCTATCTACGGTAATTTGAAACACGATGGCAAGTTTTCCGCATATCTGATAAACTGAATGGCTTCGTGATACTATAAATACGAACACATTTTTTTTGAAATTGACGTTAGTGACGTCGCCGTCGTTGCTTTTACAAAATCCTTACTTGTTTTTGATATGCCGCAGCTAAATAAATCATTTCCAACCTTTCAGATATGGTATCCACTGTTCATTTTTCCATTGACCGAATCCATCCCATAAATACTTGCAGGTTTCAGAACAGGATGCAAGGTCCTCAACTTTGTCTGCATGAGAAACAACAGCGTAAATACATCTGATTGGTAATATTTGACTCTTGAACGGCTTTCATACTAAAACAACACTGTTGAGCCCGTGATCTTATTATTGACAATGTTCCCAATAAATCGTTTTCAAAATTATTGTTTTCTTTTCTAAAGCCCGAGAACATTGTGGTTTTGTTTGTTGTACCACTTTAACAAGGAGCAAGCCTTGAAACTTAAGGACACAACCACCTAGAAGAGAGATAGTAAAGCTGAGAACTGTTAACCACTTGTTACTCAAGTCATAATTTGGCAATAGTAAAACTTTAAATGGGGTGGGAATGGCTACCTTCGGCGATGCATAAGGTATCAATTATTCTTTGCCGTTACATAGAACGTATGGGCACGTTACGTTGGACATAATTGCGAATTTCTCGGCTGTGAATGATTCAATCCACAAAAAATGATAGGTTTAAACCAGTCATATAGGAATATTTTTCAACAAACATCAGCAGAAAAGGCTTAATATTCAAGCTATACGAATTATTTAATTATTTAATTTTATTTATTTTATATATTCTTCATGTAATTATTTATTTATTTATATATCCAATCTGCGCAACCGCACAAACAAGATAAGGACTGTAATTTTTGTGTGTGATTTTGTTTTTATCGATTTGTTGTTTCAGTCTAGGACGAGAGGAAACGGAATAATTACACAAACAAGATATAAAATAAATATAATTAAATAATTAAATAATTCGTATAGCTCGGATATTAGACCTTTCTTCCGATATTTGGTGAAAAGAATGCCTATATAACTGGTATTAAAACAATTCATTTTAGGTCTGGGTCAAACCATTTACAGCCGAGAATTTTGCAATTATTTGCCCATACATTCTCTGTAATGGCGTTCCCATAGATGCTCTGTAAGTTAACAAATATTTTCTTCTAGCTTGAGTATTTTTAAATACTTAAAAGTACTAAATACTTATAAATACTTTGATTACTTCTAGCATAAAAGCTATAGATCTGAAATTTAGCAGACATTATCTCTACATCACTGTCTTGAAAACTGTCTGTTTGTTTTTGGATTGAACTTTTTATAGCTGAGTAATTGCAATAATTATGTGAACGTGCCCGCACATTCGCTGTAATAGCTTTCCCCTAAATTCTCTGTAATTTAACAAATATTATTTTCTTGCTTGAGTATTAGAGCTATAGATCTGAAATTTTGCAAACATCATTTCTGTATCATTCCCCTTAAAACTATTTGTTTTGTTTTTGGATTAAATACTTTATAGCTGAGTAATTAACAATTTTCAGTGTAATGCGTCTGTATGCATAATTTTTTAAACAGTTATTAATTGCATCATGGCTTCGTGCGACGCCTCCATTAGCTGACTTGGTAGGACACAGGAGTGCAGTACTGGTTTACTGTCTTGGGATCACTGGCTCAAATCTGACCGACACAGAGGATCTTCTCCTTTTTCTCTTTTTTTTTTTGCTTTTATTCTTGCTGAGGATGAATAATGGTTGCGTATATCGTTTTTTCAAAACTTCGCCACAGTTTTCTTGGAATTCCCTTTTAGGTACAAACGTTTATGATAGACCTATCACCTATAGGTGGTCGGCAGGTTTTAAAAATTTATTCAACTGGGTGGTTGGAGCGACTCCGCTTCTAACTGGCTGCATGTCTTGTCAGGACATTATATTTTCGTTATAACTCAGATTTCTTGTTTGGAGAAGTAACTTGTCAGCAATTAGGATATCGCGCTGGAAAAACACAAATTTCAGCGGGAGGGATTTCCTTGAATGACTTCAGTCGTTAAATAATAGTGATTGGACCGAATGAAGTACAATTCCGGGAGTAATCGCGCCAGTAATTTCAAAATCAGACAAGCCTGAAGGGCGAGGCCGATTGAAATTACGAGTACGGTTATTCCATGAATTGTACGACACGAGGTCCAATTCCTATTGAATCGTATCTAAAACAAATCTCGGAGTTTTAAATGATTTTCAAGTAGCGCTTTTCATAAGTTTTGAAAACTGTAGGAAACATTGCGACGGAAGCCATTAAAAGGCGCTTAATTGACGTGCGAATCACGTGGGTCCAATAACGGGTATCCAATTACAAAAAGTTCAAATTGGATACCTGTAATTGGAAACCCACGTGATGGCGCGCCGATTACGTGACAAATAGGCGCACGGGAAACCAATCGCGGACGAGAATTTTGTTATAGATACCACTAGGTATTGGCGTGTTTAACGAAAGGCGAGGGGCTTTTAGTTTGAAAACACAATAGCCTTTTAATCTAGCAAGTGGAGACAATTGTTTGTGATCTTTTCCACCTTTAATGAATGCCACCTCAAATCCACGAGAATCCAATGCATTTTATTTATAAGCCACATTTAAGTTTCCCACGCATTTTATTTATGATCACACCTCGATTCTAGGCCTGACGTCATCGACGTTATTCTAATCCACCACAAGTTAATGAGAATTCACAGCAAATAAGAGGGTCGTTAGCCCATTCCCGAGTTGCCCTAAGCCTCTCTATCAAACCGAGGCCTGGTGCACAACTATTCAAATGAAAATGAAAGCGAACGAACTCTCATTTTCATATAAAAGGATGGGTACCTAGCTCGCTCAAGGTAAAGGAAATGGCCTATTCCAATCGTTCTATACTACTCATGCAGACTCTAAACCGACTCATGCTTTATTCTTTAGTCTCTGTTGATAACCAATCGGTCAACAACAACAACAACAACAAAAATAACTGAAAGACCTCTATCTCGTTTATGAGTTTAACGTAAGAGAACTCTCAATTAGTGATACTGTTACTATGGTAATCTTTTATATATAAACAATGACCACAATTTGTTCAACAATTGAAGTATATGTGATGAAATTCAAAAGTGTTGCAGACTGCTATCATACACTTTAAACTACATTTAATGACTTTTAAAATCAAGAACCATGGTAATCACACAGGCCAATCACAAAGGACACAGACTATCCATTGAGTTAATAATAAATCATATCATTGTACGGAACATAATGTTAAGGTGCTTTCCAAAAGTTGCCACCATGTTTCAGCATTTGTACTTTGATAAATCATAACTGCCGCTCTTTTTCAGTAGACACTACGGTAATGGCATCAAACAGTTGCTCAGTCAGTTAGTGAAAAAAGTTATAATCATTT